ATATATATATATATATATATATATATATATATATATATATATATATATAAAATTTAAATTCAAATCGTTTGAGTATATGTTATACATTTCTAGACGAAAATAAAAATGGCAAAATGATATAAACGGATGTAGTGAATAATTCATTTTTGAGTGTATCAATCAGAAGCTGACTGCAGTCGGATCATTCATCCTGATTAATGCGCATAAATGACCTGTTGTTGTTTAAGAGCATCATATACAGGTGTGCCTTGTTCAGCGACAGCACCTCCTCGAAGTGAAAGACGAAGTTGCGCAAATAATGAACCCCTCAGGTTCTCCTGTAATAAGAGTCTCATTCGAAACCACCTCCCTGACATATACGATGAGTGAATTTGTGCATTCTACACTTCCTCCTCCTTCAGGTACTTACTGTTTAAAATCACTAAATGTGTCGTATCCGAGCATAATCAAGTCTCATTTGATCTCTATTCAGCATTCCCTAGTAGTACTGTATGAACTCTGTGCATTTCTCAAGATGATTCCATCATCAGCGAATAAAGTTTATTACGACTTTCATGTTTAGTTGAAATTACACTGACCGCAAGACATCCAACCAGTGATCCAACATTCCCTTTGCGGGCATCAATTCTTGAACGGTACAAGAATTCGCCGAGTGCAGCGATCATCGACGCGATCATACCACCCATCAGAATATAAAATATTCCAGCCACTTTACTCAGATTCAAACTCGCGTTATGTCCATCCTTCAATCAAAAGTGGAACAGTCTCGCAGTTAAATTGAAAATTCTTTAAAAATGAACGAAAATTTTGGATTAATGGGAGTTTCATCGTTCTCGTTTCAAACAACGTAATTTGAACTCACGACTGTAATTCCTTGATCACATTGTCCTCTGTCATACCACCATTTATTCTCTAATTTTTTCAGTTCACCTCTTTCTTGCATCGCAAGAATTGCCAAGTTGATTTGATCTCTGCAAGGTTCAGTCATCTCTTTCAACTACATTGGTACCATCCAAGCATAATTTCATTTGCACTTCTGCTCCACTTGAGCTTTAGTAAGCTTGTTTTTTTGGCTTTGCAAAGCTGGAATTGAAACGATGAATTTGTTTGAATTGTTCAATGCAGCTATGTTTCATTTGAATGCATTTTCCACTTCTCCTTTTTAAGGAATCGCTTCAGCGCTCTTCACCGCCAATAAGATGAACATTCCAAAAAAACTTCAAGTATTCGCACCGCCAATTTGTGTCGAATATTTTTGTCTCAAAACTTGTTTTATGCATATGTATGTGTGTGTAATTTGTTCGTTCTAAAACGTTTCTCATACAATAGCAAGAATTTATTTTCCAGCACTATGAACGTATATTCGTTTCTGGGGTTGGCGCATAATTTTCTGCTCCGTCAGTGCAATGCATAATGCTCATTCAAAGTGAACATCTTACTTGTACGGGGATCCAAAGGGTGTCGCCACACCGTAACCAACTGAATTCAAGTTTGCACCTAAAATTTGAGCATACTGATGCAAATATTCTGAGAGAGTAGGATGACAATTGAGAAGAAACCCAATTGAATTGACCATCACATAATAATATCGAGGAAACAAAGTGGAGAAACGTTATGTTCATACCAACTTTCATGGTGTCACACGGTTTTCTGGTGTTTGCATACTCGTTTGCGGTTGCTTCAAGTAAGAACGCATACCTCCCCTTATGATTACGTACACGTTCGATTCCTTCTGCGTATGTTGAAGTGAACACTGTTGGTACCTCAATTAAGTTTCTCTACTTTTTAAGTCTGAAACCACTGCCACTTCGCCTTTGCAGTGAACCTTAATCCAGTGCTATGCAATAAGAACGTTATGCTCTCTTGATTCTTTCTGCAAATGGATCGTGTTTTCATCATTTCCTGTTCACATTCATTGTTGCGCTATTGCATGCAACTCAAAAACAATTCGTATCTCTGTTCAGTTTACAGCAGAGGAATTCGCAATGATATCGTATCGTAAAACCCACTTGCGATTCCATGTAACGCCACATTCGTTGATAAATTTGCAGTGATGAATACTGAAATGGGTTTTGATTATTTCAGAGTTAGTGGAGGCAGTAGAAGAGAGCATAACAGTTGATAACGTATCATTAATATCATTTCAAAAAATTAATATCATTTCAAAGTTCAAACACGAACTCGGTGAATTGTTCAACCTTACATGATAAATTTGATTCTCTTCTCTCAACAATTATGTGGATTCCGAATAACACAAATCATGCAGAACAAATCCAGAAAAAAAATTGCTCGTTTGATAAGTTGTATTGGATAAACAAAGCAACTCTCAATATTCACATCGATTTCAAGAGAAACTGCACGTAAACTCCGCATAGTAGGCTGCAGTGAAATGATTTTGAGCTGAGAAAATTGCACTCATAAGCATGATCACTCACACATTTGTTTAATAGTCAGATTAGATGCAATCATGACAAAAATGAACACGTGCCTTGAAGAACTGTGCCGTCGAACCACCTATTTGAATTCCATACTTGATCTTGGTTTGTTTAGCAAGATCCTCAACTGATTCAATCGGAGCTTGCATCTTTTCGAGTGTCAAAAAAGCAGCTAAGTTTGCAGTATAAGATGAGACGATTATCATCGTGAAGAACCACCACGCACTGCTCGCAATTCGACCACTGATCGATCTATACACTATTCATTTACTTCAGAACATGCTTCAGAAGTTGAACAAAATTTTTGCAGTGAACAACAAGCTTTAGTGTCAGTACCACCAAAGACGGTCATAAAAGTTCACTTGATTCAGTGGATCACTGATCAAAACTTGCCTCGGCAATATATCAGTTCCTTGTTGCATGAAGGCAGCTAGCGTAAACCAAAGACAATTATAGACCGAAAAATCATTCGATATTGTGAAGCCGTTCCCATTGGGCATCTCCTCAACGCGCCACTCATATGGCGAAAAACGAGATACGAGAAATATTACAACCGAAACCTTAAATTGAATCTTTTTTTTNTTTTTTTTCTGAAATAATTTCACTTCCTTGAATGTGCTTCATGCATAAACAGCGACATAACATAAGCATGTCGAAAGCGTTTGTATTGGCTATTCGGATTTGAGAATGAAAAAGTTGATGTTTGAGTGCGATGCATTTTTTCAATAGTCGCATGATATTAATGACATAAAGCCGTCAAATGGCATTACAGAACAACGCTAAGTTGGATTCATAATATCAGAATATTCGCTATTAAAGTGCGCAATTCAAATACTCACTCCGACATACGCAAATATAATGTACATCCAAATTTCGGTGCTCAACGGCTGCATAAACGAGAATACTGAAAATTCTTGTTTATCGGGTTTTTTGATCATGATGCTGATCCCGGTTGTCATAAACGGTTTCGAGAAATCGACAACACGTTCACGATCCTGAAGAACACATGATTGGATATACTGCTCGTAAAAATGGTGACAGCTTCGTGGAATATCGAGAAATTTTTTCGCATCTTTTTCGAGCAAAAAGAAATACTACCGATTGTTGGAAGGAAATTTAATCAAAAAAGAATTGTGGTCCTCGGAATTAATATTCCTACGGGAAATAGCTATGAAATTTCATCTTGAATCCTTTTTAAACCCCTGCAAAACGTGTTGTTTCTGAATGCTTCTGGCTGTTTTGATATTAATGATTTTGTAAAAATAGGCGTCATCCTCAACGGCGTATAGCAATATCGACCTAAACAGATGTAAACTGGAAAATAATTTTGCAACGAGCATCGTTTAACTGAGGAAGCAGTTGCTATTTGTACACCCTTTATCCAACGTATGTGAGGAATTACGATGGAATCTTAAATGGTCATTTCTAGAATGTGATCTGCATGATCCTATCTAATTGTAAGGGCGATTTACAACAAAACGAATGTGTAAATTTGAGCATTATCTTCATTGGTATCGGATGCTGAGGAAAGTATGACTTTAATAATATACAGCAGCTATTACTCGAACTGGAGTTTAAGCAAAACCTGATTTATGGTAAGTGATGCAACGCAAACGTCAGCAGTACCGCTCAATAGCGCTCCAATACTGCCATCCCATGAACCATCTGGTTGTCTCGCTCCTTGATTACTTGCCAACATGATTTCATATTGGAAATCTTCTATCCTGAATGCATCTGATTGTTTTGCTTAATGATTGCTCGTTTTTAAGCAAAGTATTTATGAGCATGTACCAGTGAACAAGTTTAGAGACAATCTACACTGAGCATAAGAGGCTTGAATCAATTTAGGTGCACCTATCGGAGAGTAATTTGAGGAGATCAATGCAGAAGCCTTCGTAACGTTCATTGCCTTGACACTCGCTATGGTTGGATGCCTCGCAACCTCGCTTGATCATCACGAATGGTTCTGTCTAAAATTCACTGAATTGGATGGTACATTAGATGTACTGATGAAATGTTTTAATGAGGACTGTTCGATAAGCACTAATTGAGTGTGAATGAAGAATATGACACTGTCCCAGAAATATGAGGTACTCTTTATGTAACATTTAATATTTTTCGATATTGAATTGAAATGATTGATCTTATAATAAGTGACAAAAGTTCAACGACAATTCACGAGTTCATCGAGCCTGAGTCAGATGAAAACATTCATTTTAACTGTATTCATAAGGAATTAAACCGAGAGTAGAAATTGAAAGATATTATTCGGAATTTATTGATGGGATATCATCGCTGTCCAGGAAACCATTTACGCTTAAACGGTGCCGCTTCCCAGCTAAACTTTTCGAATAAAAGATACTGTTTTAATGCGGGAGGTCAATTACTTCAGAATGGCAAAGAAATGAAAGTGCAACTCACAATAACTGTGATGACTCTAATGAGCTTACGCTCTCCTGAATCTTCCATTTGTTTTCTCGTGTGCTGAGCGATTGTTTGATTCGCGAAAAATCCCACGCCTTGTTTCCAAACCATCATCTGAGAAAGTATTACGATACTATCATCGACATTTGATCACTACAATGCTTGTGTTAGTAATTCATTTCAAACCTCTTTGCGATTGAATGCAGATTTTGCGTTCGATACCAGATCGATCACTGTAACGTCGAAATTCTTCCTTAACCCGAAACGATCAAATTCGATACGACCACTCAACGTGCCATCCTTTTTGTCCAGTTTCAACTGGAAGCAAAAATTGGGAACGAAAATTCAAAATGTTAATGAGGCGTTGAGTGACCAAAGTGAATTCATCTAATTTTTCTACATCAAAGTGTAAACTGTTCGATTATCTTGAGCAGCATCATAGCATTTTCCCTAGCGCAATCATATTTTGGTCATTTTGACTGTTCATCATAATATCCAGTGCGGCAATAAAAGCTCTTGAAACGTTTTAGCGTTGCTTCGATGTACGAGTAAAGGGTCTGAAGTAGAATTAGTAAATAATACTGAAACTGATTACCCCTCTGAACACTCTCGCAATAGCTTGGCCGTGTTCAAATGTAGTGAACGGTCTTTGCGGATTATTAAAATCCAAATTTGGATGACAATATATTCCTGGATAACCACGATTATACAAATCCCCGTGACGGAAATTCTGCCTGAACAATGAGTCATTCCGTCGCAAAGTTGCTTGAAATGCAGCTTTTGCAACTAAAACCGCATCGTAGACAAACGCAGCACGACCTCTTAAATGACCGTTCTGAAAGATTGAAAGNAAAGTGATCCTCTGTTAGCATTCGTAAACAATTTCCATCATCAATAAATTTGCTGCCATATCCACGCAAATATGATCAATACACATTGTTGCTATTTGAGCAATAAAAGTCTTTCGTCGGTTTCGATGTTCAATTATATGGTCCGGAAAATAGTTGCTTAGGCTGATGGATAGGAAGTGTTAATTAAAGCGAAGTCCATTCATAAAGGTATCAATTCTCTACGAAACCATAAACAGAAGTGAATGAATATTTCTCATACGATTCCAAAGAATACCTCCAACTGCACTTGATACATTCCTCGCGAAGACGTCTCATTCACTAAATGTCTTCTCAAATTCCAATATTCTTTCGTTTCTCGATCAATTATTTGGAATCCAGAGATATTGATATTTCCACTCTCGAATAGCTCCACATCATGCGGCAAGAAGTCCTTTATATTTAGCAAAATTTCCACCATATTACTAACCAGCTAACAGGTTCGAGTTTTTAAGTAAAAACTAATCCCTGACTAACTGCTTCGAGTTACCAGATTTTTATTGCCTCTAACAAACCTATAGGAATATAACTAAAAAAAGAACCCCATCAATGATGTTGTTCCGCCTCACTGAAAAATCTCAACTTTCCAAACATTAGCTGCATTAAAATTCGTAGTGAATACGTACAAAATTAGCCACAACATAATGATACTGTAACTGGTTGAACTGTGCTGAGCGAATTGCAGCCAACATGTGCTGTTGACGAAACGATGAGGATGCATCCAGGATTATTCTCCTGCAATATTCTCAGCTCCAGCTTCTTTTATTTATCTCATCCCAATTCTGACTGCTCATATTGGCATCGATGATTGAATTGTCGCTATGCCAGAAGTGCATCGGGCAATTTTGTAAGTGGAACGCATCAGGTCAAATGATAAAAGACAAAATATTAACAATAGATGCAAATATTGACTTGCTTGAATCATTCATCATTCGATTCACATGGAAACGTAGAAGAAAATCAGAGAATTGTTCAATATCGCGAGGAATGCGAACCATCTCGGTGTTCACGGATAAATTACTTTTTCTATGCAGATGATAGTATATCCATTGAAGCGTAATTGCAGCTGCAATGTGAACAACAATTAACCACTCACTTCAGAGAACGACTGAGTTCATTCAATCAGCCATTAATATCCTATCATTTTTCATTCATCTTTTGAGAGTTCGCTGCCTAAGATTAATGTTCTCTTTTCGGCGTTAACAGCATCACTACGATAAATTACAGGAGAAAGGATAGAAAATGGAGCAGCATCACTCTAATACATTTTCATTTCCAGACTAAGAAATCGCTGTTTGGAAAAGTTCTGATTTTAAAATTTTTTGACACTTTTTAAAATTCAACTTTGTGGAATTATTCACTCACAATTTTTTCCGTCGTGCATATAAACAACCTCGGTCCATCTCTTGTGCAATATAAGATCAGCAATGATTTCCGCAGTTGGTGGACGGATGCTTATTTCGAAACTGAAATTGCCGAACAATATCATTCTTAAATTNTTTACTCAGATTCACAGAAATTGTTCAAATTAATTTTCAGCGTTCAAAATGTACTGCCGATAACATTCTGAACGAAATACGATCAAAATGAAAAGCTTAGATGCTACTTGTTGAAGAATCCATCAGACGGTATCACAGGTGCAAGATCCCAGTTAATAAGCGGCATTTCCAAGTTGTCAGCCACACCAACAAATGCTTCATGTGCCCTACCGCTATCGCCGCACATTATAGTCATCATTCCTTCACGCAATTCCTCACATACTGCAATGATCAAAACGCGCATGCGATTGCTGATATAACTATCATGGTATGATTAACATTGGCCCAAAAAATAATTGTCACTTTGATCAGACTGTGTTATCTGAAAAACTGGCGAATGGATGCATGAATGTAATTATATACCAGTATTAATAACATTCCAAGTGTCAGATTCAGTCGCTTGCAAGTGATGATTTTTCAATTCGAGTTTGAATGGATTCTTGCGGTTATTATTATGTAAACGTTCACTATAGCGAAGTGTAGCCAACACGCCTTGATCAACGTCTTCGGGGAATGTGTACGACCCTATAATCACATCTAATCGTTTCCAACAATCTTCTATGAAAATGAAGTTGTTCGAGTAACTAAATATGTAATATGATATTGCTGACTGATGAATGAGTTAGAATGAACGAAATGAAACTGACTCATCGGAATTTTGGCAGGATACGAGAATAAGGTTGTAACTAGAAAGTTTATGAAGAATGATGCGATAGTTCGAACGTCCGTACGCATTGTGGATGCAAAACTGCTGAAAGTTTGTTGTCATTATACAAATGCTACTCCAAAAGACCACAACGAATACTGTTTGGAAGAAGCCATAATGAATAACTGATTGTGCTTCTGAAAATGCTTATACAAATGCTCGCAATGAAACTGACTAGCATTGTTCATATTGCTGGTAATACTATTGTATAACTTTCACTAAAGTTACCGTTATTGCTATTAGTGGTGATGATATCAGTCACTTGCATGAATAACGTTTTCAGGGTCAAAACTATCACAACTGTTGACTAGTGACAGCACTGAGAGTACTGTTTTTAACCACTGCAATCTTCAGCAACAATTCAATTTCCGTCATCGTCAACAGAAATGAGCAAACGTGCATGCTTAACACTTTTGTGTCAGCAATCAATTGTTACGCTTAATCTGAATCCACTGATCAAGTTAGTGCAGGTTTCTTCTCTAAACAGTTTTGGGTATGTTTTGGCAAAAGTTAAGCGGCAGTCAGAAGTTTCGGATGAGCTTCTTCAGTTGGTTTCAGTGCATCTCACAAATCGATTAATCATTGGCCATCGCTTTGAACAAGCGATCAATTGAGACATGTCGAAACACTTCCTTCAATTTCAAAATTCCTACTGGATAAAATAAGAACTATCGATTATCACTTTAAATGAACAACTAACTTCGTCTTCGATATTAAACGCAAATGTTTTATATTTCAGTATCGCTTCCAATCATCCAGCATGAATTACCATCCTCGCAACATTATAGTCAATAGTTTCTAATGCAAGAAATTTGACACCCCCGCTTCGAATACCTTCAAGAGCGTGTCCAAAAAGTGGAACAAATGTTGAGGTATACGCTTAGCAGGGGATATGAATTAGGTGACACGAGTTGCCTACAATGTAGATCATAAACTTGGGGTTGGGAAAGCAAAAAATGAAATGATCAACGGACCGAACGCAGTAAAGATTTGGGTGAGGTTGGCTGAAGTCGACGTGAACGGAGTAACGAAAATGAATTCAGTGATGAAAAGCATTTAGAAACGTTGAACAAGTTTATCGTTAAGTGATGAGTTTGCTTGTGCTACGCTATGTAATAAATCAATTACGGGGCAAGTTGAATTTGTTGATGTGGGGAAATGTTCAGTGATGGTACTTAAAAGGTAAAACATCTTAGAGTTGCATGCGGCGAGTGCTGAGATGCGGATATGAAATCAGATTATTCAATTATCGTACATATTCAGATGCATATGTTGATTCGTTCGTAGGTAGAAGAGATTGATGAACCATCTGAATGCTCTTCATTCACAATGCTTATCCAAGCACAGCAACACCCTTCCGCATCATCTCTGTACTGCTCAATTGATCGACCGAATAACATCACCACAATAAGAAGGCAACGAAAGTCTCTAAGCAACTATTAAGGGAGTGTTAGCATGATCATAAAGCACTCAAGAAGATACCTTATAATGGTAACAACTACCCGAGGGGAAAAGAGCACCAGCATAAATGATTACTCACTTGATTCAATTATCGCACCCGATAACCTCATATGTTCAAGCAGCACAACTCCTTATAATTTCATCACCTTCATCCCATCTTTCAAATTCATCCGTCAATACAATACTATAATAATATTCTTCAAAGTTTTTTGTCACATACAACACTAACCGAATGTTCACAGTATACGTATCCTCAAATACAAACAAAAATATGAATAAGTAAATGTCAAGAGAATAATTTAGAAACGTTCGGTTTTTAAATGAGTTGTGTTAGTGCACTCAGCTAATGTGTTTCATGATAAGCTTATGGGAATGAACGAAAAAAAANAAAAAAAAGAGGATCAAATATCGAACACGCTATGGATTTTAAAAAACTTATAAAAACTAAGTCGAGTTACTCGCATTCTCGCAGAGCTTGTGTGGAATTGAGATTGAACTGGATGCGTAGTGAACGAACAAAGCAGAAAAGAGGGATTTAATTAAGTATGAAAAGAGGGTGGTAGGATTGAATTGCTCGGATTGATGTGAAGATCAAAAGGATAATATTAGTTGAAAATCGTCGAAATAACAAAATTCGAGCACTACATTGATTGCTGTTGCTTGTTCAGTTGCCAATAAGACGGAAACAAATGTTATCAAACATTATGTGATGCGTTCTGTTTAATTTTAGAATTCACGAGTATTTTGGATGTAAAAATCGAATATTCTAACATTCGACCACAAGCAACAATCGTAAAAAGATAACAGTGAAATAATAACAATACTAATAACAAAAGTACCAATAGTAGTAAAAGAAGTAACAATAAAAGTGCTTTCCTAACAAATCTCATGTCGTCTTTTGGAACAACCAAATGCGTACAAGCATAAAAACGAATGTTCTATTGCCGATTGCATCGTTATATATTGCATCTAATACCCATTCATTCAAGCACCAAATAACTCAAAACATTTCACTTTTCAACCTCCCAATAAATCATTTTCTCCTTCAGATTCACAGACGATCCCATCGCTGTCCTCATATTTTATAAGTCCTCCTCTCATTCCTCGAATCCATTCAATTCTTCCTCATTCCTTGTTGTATAATCGTTTCCCGATTCTATAGTAAAACGGCGATTTACTAATGCAAAACGGGAACGCAACGGAAATTAACAACGAGTTTAGTATGGATATCACTGAAAACATTCACATCAATACAAGTGCTCAGTGGTAATATAGCAAGACAAACAAGAATCAGGTAATTGCAAAATGAATAAAATTTAAAATCATATTAATTGCATTTTTTTTCGCCACACAGCATGTGTATATACACACTCCGTAAATATACGAAGTCAGAAGGGCGATTGTTCCGAGAGTCTATTTTCTCAAGTGTATATGTCTAACTGGTGGTGCAATCCAATTGTTGGTTTATGCATTCATCCAGTTGCACATCACTACTGATATAATAGCAGCACACATGTATTGATGCTTTTTGAAGACGTTTTCCGAGAGCATCACCCCTCTTCATGACTATTCATCAATATTGCTGATGCTTTTCTGAGGTTAAATTTATGTTTCTTTCCAACTAAACTGACTACTTTATTGAATTTATTTCATTGTGTGTTTCTGAAAATGTTATTAATTACAAAAAATATTCATTGTTGCACAAATATCAACAACGCGAAAGAGCGTTCACAATGCAATTTCATTTCACAGTTGGACAATCAGTACATAAGTATGTCTTACTGTACAATAACAATAAATTTCGATATTCGTACAGGTGAATTTATGTATACGCTTAATTATGCGTATGTATAATGCCCTTTTATCTCGCGATGAGATCATTTACATTTACCAGTTATAACATTGAAGATTAATTGTTTAAGTTGATCGATTGATAGCGTGTCGAGATCCATATCCTCCGTGAACGGTGACTCGCAAGTTGGCTGTAAACTGGCAGTGTATGTGATATTGATTGCAACACTTAATATTTAAATTGCACATTGGACAGACGAGCAGATACAATGAATGCAGCAATTGTTGTTTATGGATAACTGAATCATGCTTGTAATTCAATGACTGCCGTGAATGGTATACCTCGTCAGACGGGTCATAGTATTGCTGCAAGAAGGGATGTGCAAGTGCTTGATCGACAGTGATTCGAGAATTGTGATCGAATGTTAGCATTCTGTCGAGTAACTTCAACGCCATCGAATCAGCATCTTTGTACAACTTTTTCCACGGTTGTTTCTGCTGAACTGGCATTGACGCTATGTAGGATCTTGCCTGAAGAAAACCACATCCCGTATTATTTTGATTGTATCTAGCTTCTGAAATGATTGTATCTAGCTCTTCAACGGAATGCAAACTTTCGCTGAATTTCGTTCGCTGAGCCGTCAACTGCGAGTTAAAGTATGCGTTCGCTGATTGATAAACTCTTAGAGGTGACTTTTCAATATCTGATTAAATTTCCACATAAGTGTTACTTACACTGCTGTTTGCAACACTTTTGAGGTCATCCTCTGACGGCGATCCAATAGTGGCGAATATGAGTTGTAAATGTTCGACGTAGTTTTTGGCTGGGAAGAGTGGTTTATTATTGAACATTTCTGCGAGAATACAACCCACTGACCACACGTCTATCGCCTTCGTATAGCACTTCGAGCTGCACATTACCTCTGGTGCACGATACCACCTTCAATGAAGATTTCAGTGAAGAAATGGGCGACTTTATGGATTTTCGTTTTTAGTACATTCAGCCATAATGGATAGTGAAAACGCAAATTATTAAAAAGATACGTGAATGAAAGAAGTTAACGCCACCTGGTTGCGACGTATTCAGTTAGTGCACCAGAATGATCTTTACTTGGGTCAATCACTCGAGCCAGCCCAAAATCACATATCTGAATGGAGTTCGAACAGATAGTTTCATCTGATGAAACTTTGTGAATCTCAATGCATCCGTGTAATCGTCGAACGTTCAATACTTCTGGAGAAAAATCTGTGAAGATTTAAATGATATTTCACTGATATTCGTTTACCTTCAAGTCACAACTGTCGTTAACGAGTAAATTGGAAGGCTTTAGATCTCGGTGAATAACGTTCGCCGAATGAATATATTTTAAGCCTCGGAGAATCTGATAAAGGAAGAAGCAAATGTGCTCAGTTGAGAGACGTTGTCCTCGCAAACTTCGCAATACTTTATGCAAATCAGTTTGCATAAATTCTTGAACAATATAACTAAAAACGATATGAACCAAACAACTGAAAGTAACCCAAAGAAGAAAGAATTGAAAACCTCATGAGAACTTTGAATTTTTAACAGATGATATATAAAAAATTGAAAACTTGATGAGATGATACACAACAAGTGCAATATAACATATAAGAAACACGAAATATACACAAAAAACAATCGCTACAGAAATTACAATAACAATCTTAAATAATTCCTTTGAAGATTCGAATTCTCGGGGGGTGTCATTGATTTCAGGTCAAATAATCGTAACAGAGGCAGATTTTGTTTGATAGAAAAAAATCGAATTAGACTTACATAGTGCTCATTTTTTGAATGCAACTCGGCTGAATAATTTCAATGATACTGATTATCTAAAACAGATTACAATTCAGAATTTCCTCGTATGAAATTTGCTTTGCCACTGACATTACTTACTCTAAACAATTATCCGAGTCACCAATCCAGTTGACTCCTTTCACATTGCATTGATTTACTGTATCAAAAAGAATACGTTACATATTTTCTGAATTTTGATTTCACAAAATCAATTTATGTAATGAAACAATCAGCAACACACTGAAATAATATGATTGAGAATAATGAAAACAATGCGACTCGTAATCAAAAATGAACTGTATTTGCAACTGTATAGCAATTACGCAGATTTCTCGTTGTCAGCATACTATACTCACATTTTCGTGCTTCATTCTCGAGAGAATTTGAATCTCTCGTAGAGTTCGTTGACAAAATATCGAATGTGAGAAAGGAGTCATACGTTTAATGGCCACTCGTCTTTGTGTCGTTGCATCCAGTGCTGAACTGAAATGCAAAAAGCTGATAAAATTTCCGGTTTAAATTATAATAGTTAATAATTTTGAAGCACTTTATCGTGCATTTATTATCAGCTCCAATTTTCTTGAAATAAGAATTCTCGAAATTCGCTCTCATATCTGCAATGAAAGAATTCGCAGTGAATGCAAAGAGAGGAACAATCGCAAGGTAAAATCTCACTTAAAATGTGCAACACAATCGATATAACTTACACAACCATACCGTAAGATCCCTCACCAATGTATGATAAATTCTTGTACTTCGATGACACATCGAACGTTCTGCCATTCACTTCAACTAAAGTGCCACCGTTCGTGCATGTGCTAGTTTGAGCCATACGCAACGAAACCGTAAAGGTGTCGTCGTAAACTGAATAAGAGTCACAATGAGCAGCCCTAATCAAATGTAATAATGACAATGAATCGAATAAATTTGAAGATTTAGGCAGAGGCTTTATGAGAGAGAGAGGATCGTTTGGTGCGCATTGAGTGGCGTAAAATAATGATAATGGTGGATATGATCGTATTGTAATGACTGAATGCAATATTATAATGACGAACTAGAAGAAAGATGAGATGAGATGAGGTAAATGTGAACAGATGATGGTAAATATTAGCAAAGAGATGCACTGAAACGCACTTAAGAGGACCATACCTCTTCACTTAATAAGCGCTTTTTTGGTACGTTTGTGTTTTTTGATTATTTTCGATTGTCATCAGCGACGCTTCTTAATACCAAACAGTCGCTTTATCTCATTTCAGTGTAGTCAATTTGAAAAAAATCAATTTCCGTTTGTCACTTGAAAATTTATTGGTATTGAATTTCATCTTCTTTCTCGAATGTAAATGTCAAAACTGCGGTGAATAGATCACATTCACGGACCTGTGCATCAGGCCACAACATTTTGTGCTCAGTTGCCATAGATACAAACTTCCCAGCGAAAACGCTCACTAAAACAGTTACCATCATCGAGCTATCAAACATTTTTCATGAGCAGATCGCTAGCTCAACAATCAACTTTGTAAGAGTTGAGCGAAAGTAACACTCGATGCCTCCTGTCTTTTAAAGACCGAAAACGCTCCTACTATGCGGTATTTTCAAAGTATGTTCAGTGCTTGAATCAACGTTACCTAGCTTCAAATTCTGTTCCAGATATCCTCAAACGTTCATATTTCAGTGCTATCTGATTACATTTCAGTGAAGAAGCAATTGATTTTTGAATGAAATGAGTGTGATGAATGATTAATGAAATGTTTCGAGACAATCGTGAATCATTTGCGTAAGATCAATTTTATTCTTTTCTTAGCACCCGCCGTTCATTAAACTATTTTTAATCAGATAATCAACATTCTCGAGCACTTAAATACGAACCTTCTTCACAGTAACATTTGAAGCCATTACTGTACAAGTAAGTGGTAATAAATAAGATAGTAATAACCATTGAATTTAAGTCCTCAGAAAGAGTAAACATATGACGTATGGTGGTGAAAATCGGAAAATCAAAAAAGAAAGTCAACACATGAAAAATTATTAATTTGTTTATCAAAATCATAAAAATCGAACAAATCAAACGGCAATTAACAATAATCCGACGGAAAAACAAAATGTCATCATTAAAAACTAAATTCGTTCTGAACGTCATGCGAACCATCCACATAGGACAAATCGATGAAACGAATAAAAATTGGTTCATAAATGAGATAAAATTAAAAAATGTGGAATGAATGGAACAGAAAAGTTTGTTACGTCCGTTCTCTTCACGATATCCGTACTTCGATGCGATAGATAATTCGTTACAAAAACTGTTTATCATTTCTGATAACAAATACACAGTTACCAATTACGCAAAGTTATCAATTATACATACTCATCAATCCATTATCAATTACGCTCTCCTCTGAGCTTGTTTTCACTGTGGAGAATCCCCTAACGTATCATTTGGTACTACTGCTTTTGACAAAAATTCGAATCACATTTTGAACGCTTTCGAAATCTTCCCGAAAACATTTCTTCACGACTGTTATTCAGAGCGGTACGATGAATTTGTTCAAAATGGGACAATGTTGTGAACGAGAATTCAACGAAATGGAAATATGCTTTGAAAACGTATTATCTTCATTCATGATGAATCACCTCTGAATGGTGTACCGAAATGAGTGAATGGTTCTCATTGGGAATATAAAGGCGATCATCGACAGAATGCATGACTGCAAAACCAATATACATACATATCGAAGCGATACCATTAAAACGTGATCGATTTTAATATCTCAGACGAGCGTTTCATATTCGCGACACCAACTTATTCATTCACTTATACTATCATTTTAAATTGTACTTTTATCTTTTAACTATCTTCAGAAATCGTTAATTTTTTCGAAGGATAATACATAATCGTTGAACGTACACGAAGCGACAACACGAGATTTCTTACAAAGAGAGGCACCATAAAGAAGATTTGAACCTAACTGATGATTTGATTCGCATTCTTCAAATGTTCCAGCATCAATTAAACACCATCCATTGTACATACACGCAACCAGTAAATTATCACTTTCTTTATCACTTTCTATGGCCCAAACACCACCACCAAGCTGAAAACAATGAGCATACACGCCACCATGAACACTCAAAAAGAAATATTCTCGCCTTATGCATTCCATTTGAAGAACGAGTCAAAAATTTTTTTGAATCAGAGAATTATATGGAGATTCTGTCTGAAATGATTAGTTTACGAGACTTCATTGAAGAGAATTTCATAAATTTATTAGGAACAAATTTATGCATAAACAAATTTATTTACTCAAAATGTCTCTAGGCTTATGACATTGTATAAGAATAAAAATGACACGACCCATATAAATGATGAAGTTCCATGCATCGCTCAAACAATATCGAATAAAGACAATAACGAACGTTCTTCTCATTCACTGGTCGCGCAATTGATCTTTTATCGAATCTTCGAATTAATTCATCATAACAACCACTCAGTAAAGACGTCTCATCTTCAGTCTTCAAGCACACAATCCCACTCGAATGCTCCCTACATACCATCACTGCTTTTTCAGCAATCCTCAAATCCCACATTTTCATTATTCCGTCCTCACCACCCGATACCAACAAATTTTCGTCTAACCACGCCACACTCCAAACTTCACAACCTTCACCAGTATATGGCAACGTATGAGCTCGAAATGATTTTGTTTGACCTGAAAAAGAGAAATATTAAATCCAACTGTTTGCAGTGGATTTCACGTACGGCAATAGCACACAACCTAAAAAGCTAGAAAGAATGCGTATAAACGATCTTCCAATGACACATAAACAGCAATCAATGAAACTCTTCCCGAATTTTGCGCACCGCATAAAAATCAAAAGGAATTTCCAAAATATACCTGAAACTATGTCGACAACGTGTATTGAGCCATGATTATCGGATGTCACGGCCGTTCCGTTGCGAATCGAAACACTCAGCAACATGGAACCTTCTACAACCGGTAAGTCGCTCACGGAGAGCGTCCTCAGATCGACAACGCCCAAAGATCCGTTTGTGAGCGCAGTATAGATATGTTCAGATGAATTGTCGAACTCAAAACGGAATACACCACCAGACATCGGCACTGTTTCGGAGATGACAAAATCTTTGATTATATAAAGAGCACCTTCACGTGATGTTGACTGACCGTTCAGTTGATAGGTTGATACAACGAACATATTCTCACTCGAATAACACGCCAATGCAGCTGGCCTCTGAGGTAATATCAGACGTCCTATTGGTTCCAGTGGCATTTTTCAACGAATTCCTTTGGTGACAATCAACACTGACAAATGTTCAATAGTATTGTCAAAAGTTAGCACATCCCATCAATAAAGGTTAGCACATCGATACTATCAATGAACAAATTCCAATACAAACAAGTAATGATACAAACAAATTTGGTACAGACAAACAGCAATGAAATAAACAAAGTAATAAGCGTATGTCACAACTGATTCAATCAATGAAAATGGTAGAAAGAAATAGACTGAGAAGAATTATTCTTTATAATAGCCAATCAAATAATCCAGGAATACTGGCATTTGGATAGTGGCAGAACAAATTAATAACCGAAACATTAACGGAAACGAATGTGAAATGGATCGGTGATACGAGTTCTATTGACGTGCGTTACGATCAGTTTCCATTATGCACTCTCTTACGAGGATACGAGCGTGTATGATACTCCTCTTGAGACGTTCTGCACAAATCTTATTACCTGTATAGGTGGGTCGAATATCCTTACTTAACTCCTCAATTACCTGCAAACTTGATCATTCATTGATTCAACAACAACAATTATACCACTCTTCATCTAGATTCTGGGGAATTTCAACGAGTCATGTGAATTTTAATAAAGTGAAAATGTTCTTCGAAGAATGGATGCTTCTGAGAAGGTAATCTCCAAGGAGGGGAGAGGGGGCGCAGGGACCTTCCTCCTCTGGAGGTTAGAAGACAAGGGAAAAGGGGGAAGGGGAGATGGATGTGGGAAAAGAAGAGGAAATGAAAGAGGGGGGGGGGGGGATAGAAAGAAAGAAGCAAAAGATAAACCCATTCCAAAATTCCGGTTAAGCCACTGGTATACCTCATGTGAAACCTCTCTCTAAGTTCCACTAATGAAACAGAAATTTTGGAATGAAATGTACGAGCCAACATTTTGCCTTGACATCCGTAACCGAAAAAGACGCATTATATCCTCGAATCGAAAAATCCCACCAGAGTTAATGAACAATTCTGTGAAGCATTAATCACTTCACAAAGCAAATAGCTTCATCAAGTAAAAATGGAAATATCACAGAATGCTGTGGATTTATGAGTGAATAAAGATGACTAACACTCAACAGTTGACTGTACTTGGAGGTGCCAGCAAGTTGAGGTGCAGGAACTGAATATTGAGGTAGAGTGGCGGTTGTAGATGAATGATTGCTGTTTAGCTGATGGACCGTCGTTGTTGGTGTGCTCGTCGTTGTTAAGTCTTCTGCTGACATCCTCAAAAATACCTTGTTCATTAATGGCAATATTTTATTCGAATTTTCTTGACGCAACGAATAAACGAACAAAGATGAATGTTCATCACGATGAGGAGTGCTCTTCTTGACATTATTTTGAGTTGATTTCAATTCTCACTTTGTTTCTGATTGAATTTGGCACAAATTTCTTTTATGTCTTTTTATTGATTTCTTTTATCTCCCAATTCACTTTCCTTTTCATTAATGGCTGGCGGAATTTTTCCCGATCCACATAACATTGACGTGAGGAGAACTTTACTCGCCCATTTTATTATCACTTATTTATGAACGTAGCGAATAAAATAAAACCGAATTAAAAATTACGAGCAAATTTTATTTTACATAACAACAAAAATGAATCGATTCTAGACAATCTCGTTCGAACACTCAAAAAATCGATCAATTTCCTTCAAAAGCTCATTTTCATGTGAGTTTTGAATGTGAATAATCAAATGCATATCGTTGGAATTGAAACTCAAGTAGATATTTGACTGCATGACGCGTCTCTTCGGTATTTGAAGCTAAAAACTGATAAGCAAATCACAAAAGATAACGATGGTATTGGTATGCAAAAGAATGACTGCTAAATGCCGAGTATGAACTCCGACTAGTCAGTGAAGTGTATCGCAAAAAGAGCTTCGTTTAAGCAGCATGATGCTCTCAACAGTGCACATCTCAATCGATACAAACACCAGACAAACGCAATTTTCAACCTGTTTGCAATAAACACACACACACACACGCACTCCATCTTGCAATGTCATAGATCTATCGTACCTCTAATCACTGCCGACTTTTTACTCATCAATCAACTCAATATATAACCGTCTTTGTATGTCTTTATTCGTATTGTCGATCGCAAAAGTGCCCAACAAAGTGGGTTGCTGAGCCCATCATCCAATTAATAGACGTACTTCTGTCGTTTTTTTCCCCTTCATTCTTCTTGTTGATTAACATCTCTCGTTGTCCCGTTGTCCTTTTGCGCCGTCCGTTTTTAATTCACTGTAGAGCATTACCGGTTTATATCGTGTAGATTGGAACACCGCTTTGGAAATAACTTTTGTGTAAAATTTCAGTGATACTCATTCAACGGAATACGTTTGAGCCTATAAACTTCGTATACAATAACCGAAATGTCAAACGTTAGTTTCATATCGTTGATGTATTTCGATTAAGTAATTTTCATGCGTTTCATTCTGTGAATCGTTCGCATTCAAAATTGAAATCTTCTGAAACAATTGAGCTAAACGTATGTGCCATATGCGTTGAAAGGAACATAATTAGATGTTCAGCACACGCATACGCTTATGATTCATAACAGTAGATTGACTTTTGACTTCATTATTGTTCATTTCAAAATCGGTTCAAGAGAAGTGCATTAATAAGGTAATTTCAGACTTATGTATTCGAATTGGATATGACCTGTGAAGGATGTGCGAATACGGCTCGTAAAGTATTAGCAAAACTTGGGGGTACGCTCAAATACATACTATGCAGTTTTCTTTTGGTTGATTTCTGTGGAATTTTGGGAGCAGACCGATCTTGTCAAACTTTTGCTTGATCATAACGGTCATTCAGCATTGTAAAATGTAGCTGGAACGTATCACTGTACTTTAACAGACCATACTTATGTTCTGCTTTGAGACAGTAGCTCAGGCATGAACTTCATCACTGCATCCAGAAGTAATGAAATTAACGGACGGCATTCGTTGCCGATTGGATGCAGGTTACTGTGGAACTAGTACTGGTTCCATGATATGGTGACTTGCTACGGGATGAGCTGAAATTAAACACACTCTTTTTATCAATCCCCATAATCAAAAACAGTGTCAGCGTTCGCGAAGGGTTCATAACTAGTGCGAAAAACTTCATTTAACATCATTACCATTGTTTCACTCTTCTAAACTTTTGCATAATCGTAGGCATATTCTGCATGAATTCCTGCATCCTTTGTAATAACTACATCAGTTGAACAGGTGGAATGTTGGAACTTCAAAAAAAGCGGTGAATTAAGGATGCATAGAAACACTCAACTGACTGCTAATATCACTTAAAAGAGCAGGTGCACGAACGAGAAAAATTTACAAGCTTCATAATCGTGATCTCGTTGATAAAATTCATAAAAATGCTGTGAATGGTAGATGTGTGGGTGTTTTTTTTTNTTTTTTTTTGAAAAGAAATAATCTGTATTGAATTCTTGATGTAGTTTTTTGGTTCACTTACAGGTGATGTATCAAAAGTCGATGTTGATCTGCCATCGAAGAAGATTACTGTAACAACCACTCTGCCATCGGACACTATCCTGCAAACTTTGCAAAAAACTGGCAAAGCCTGTAAACTCATTTCGTAATATCATCACTTTATCAATATGCTTCCACCATTTTGATGTTTAATCATTTTAAAATTTCGCTCTGTCCTTCTCCAATGCATCAACACTCACCAGTTACTTTTTTCTTGTTGAATAACATCTCATGAATTCTTCCGTACTGTAAAAATAGTCTATCCACAAACATCTTGCTCCCTCAACAAAACTATCGAGATAGGTATCGCTCGTTTCTGAGAGTTTTCGGGGTCGGTGATAATCAGATTTGTCTCATGAATTATGCCATCCAAAAAAATCTTTCAAATGTTCGCTGCAAATGCGATATTCACAAAGTGGCACCACAGTATCGGAAATCTATTTGAATGTATCATTATCGATGACATCAGTGATCGCTCGTAACTTTGACTTGAGTTCGTTTCATCATTATTTTCCTCATCTTTCTTAGCTTTTTATCTCTCAAATTTTTACTGTATTCTTCACATATTCCAATCACATTTCGTTGGTGATAAATTCGTTTGAATTTTCTCAAGAGATTAGTTCGAATCCTTATAGTCGCGAACATTTGAAGAGTTCCCACGAATTTCTCGTCAAAAGGATATGAATATGGTGCATATTAGCGATAAATCTAAATAAATTTGTGATAATTTATCTGCGCAGAATGTTGTGTTGATTCAACACACTTCATCTGACAGTTGTGCAATATTTTGTGGGTATAATTAGTCTCTGTACCGTTTTCACGATTGTGGTTGTGATCAAAATGTTGTGTTCTGATGTGATCAACACATTCCTTTCATTTGATAAGCAGATTTTCATTGTTTTTTTTTTTCATTTTGAACTCCCATTTATATTTACAATGCTTAATCGACGAATTACTTCATCTGTTGTTATGATTAGTAATCGCAAACATTTATAAATTGCTTCTATCTGTTGTTGTATTAGTAAACATTTATGTGCTCATTTGCATCGTCAATTTTGTATCAACCCCGAAAATTTGAGTGTCTTTCGAATTCGGATTCAATTTCAGGTTGCGTTAGCTGTAATATATTAAACATTTTTATCTCTGATTAAGATTAAGCCATCATGCAATTTTACTGGTTTGAGGTGAAGTATGAAGAAGTTAACGACAAATGCATGTAGGTAATAATGTCATTGAGTCGCGTTTACTGAACACATGAAACTAAACTGCCTGTTTTCTTCGGATCCCACATGCAATAAAGTATAATCGAAACAAGTTTGACTGTTATTACAGTGAGATGAATGTTTTTCGGGGAATGGTCTTCATTAATCATGAAACAATCATACATTTATTTCTGTCCAAAAATTCATTGCAATACTCTTCTTGTGTATATTAGAATCAGTGCACGTTTAAGTCCTTGAATTCGCCGATAATTAAATAAAAAATAGTTCACATTGCTATTTTGATGTGCTTAAATTGGTGACATAAACTGTAGCATTTGAGAGCTATCCACACACAGTGTTATCAATGAAAGTTATAATACCATATTCACATGGATTCTTTGAGGCTTGTACAATGCATATCGTTTCTTGATGCTAAATTTGCATTCCGTAAACCTTGATCAAATTATTGCTACGTTTATGACTACCCTGAATGAAACTAAACGAAAAGAAACACTGATTGCCGCGCAAGCGTTCTAGTGCTTAATCGTGTAATTGCATCTTTTCTGTCCGTGTAACAGAAAGATTTTGGAATTGAAGACGAATCAGATGAATTGTAGCAACGTCGATAAGAAATGTTGTAAAAGAGTGAGGTGTTCTGAAGGATTTCAAAAGCGAAAATGAATCAGTTGTGACCAGAACAGTTGATGCTGACAATTTTTTTCGTAAGGTGACAACCATCGCAGATCTGAACATCTCGACATCATCTCAATGACCGTGACTCGTTGTGCTTTGCATCAGTTCACGTGAATTGTGGTAAAATGTGAAATATTAATATCTCTCTGAATTTCGTCAGTCAGCGTGTCAAAATTCATCTGCTCAGTCATAGTGTATCAGCAGATGTAAGTTTATTCGCTCATTACTCGTTAACTGCAAGGAAAGATTTGGTTGGTTGTTCTTAGTACGAACCATAAAGACACTTGAATTTTATTTTAGTCTTAACATTCTTCACAGGAAAACGTCGTCACCAACCTTTGCCATTTAACATCAAATTAGTTTCTTGAAATTACCTCTGTATATTCAATTAGTATTTCAAAGAAAGTTTCATGCAGATGCGACGAAGTGTCTACATAATTTGTTCAGTTTATCGTGTTCCTTCAGGTACATATCAAGCCATAATTACTGTCTTAATTTTGATCACCTCTTGTAATTGAACTAGGAGCGAGACTCAACACTCAGAGATGAATCTTTCACTTCATCTCCGATTATTTCTCACTTCGATAGTACAGGTATAATACCGTATCAGTTCATCGAAGCAAAACGCACATACGGTAATCTGCTCTTGGTACAGCTACATCACTGATGTTATCAACAGCTATTGTATCAGACGTGTATTCATTTCGATTGTTTCCTGCTCAGTTAATTTATCTTAATTAATATCTTACTCAGTTGCAGTATTATGAACTCAAATGGATAACAATAATAATAATAATTTAAAAAATAATAATAACAAGTGAAATGGATTTCTATATACCAATAGATAAATGATTGAATTATACGTTGATAACGGTGAGATTATCACTAGCAACATTGATAATGTATATATCAATATTCAAATTAAGTGGTGATGCGATGCGTAGTTATA